CTGAACCTATGAACAATAATTCACCTACCCAAAATAATCATAATATGTTCGGTTGGAATTTCTTTCATGGTTGGAAATAACAAAAAACAATCAACACATAACCTTCAATATTCACGTGCACTTCCAGAATTTTAAAAAACCAAACAAGTTAAGTCACTGTTGTCAGGGTTGTATAAATATGTTCACTAACCCATTTGAACTCTTATGAAAAATTTGTATTGGGCCTCTAGCTCGGCAACAATGCTAGGCCCTGCCGATTTAATCGTGTAACTGCTGTTTAATGTGACTTTTAAGGTCACCGCTCAACAACGCATCGGTGACTCCCACATTAAGCCAATATTAAGGTCCACTTTTACCGTGTATGTGGGGCTTAAGACCACAGATTAGTCCAGATCAAAGACATAAAGACGGAGCGCTCGTATCTAAAAGCACGGGGAAAAAGTGATGACCCTGTGCACCCAGGCAAATGGTGGTAAACAGAAAGGAACCAAGCCACATCGGGATCGAACCGAGAAAAAGAGGCTTAAAGTTTAGCTCCTGCATAAGACTCAATGTAAAAGTTAAACTTCAAGTTCAATTTCTGCAAAATTTGCTCCAACAAAAACTTTGAATCTTTGGCGATAGATAGTAGAGCAGTGGTTGAGTTCAAAACCACTCATAACTCAATTTTTTCCAAAATGTGGGTTGGTACGTTCCTTTCTGCTTAACTCAATCCATTTATAGGCACGTGGCAAACTGTGAAAGGGAACTTTAGAAATGCCCAGAAAGTTGAGTAAAACAGCAAAAACATAATTTTGAATTTTTTATCTTAAATTTTGGTTGAACACACAGCCGTACCGGTTGAACACCAAAATAAATTTTACGGATAAAGTAAGACGTTAGCTTTCATATTTGGAGCAAAACAAATTTCTTGACTATAAAGAATCCTAGTACCCCCTAATAGTATATCGTTCTTTTTTGGTACAAAAGGGAGGGATCTTGAACTATCTTTGAAACAATTTAAATGATTTTTTCATTTGTCTCTGATTTTTAGAAATTAACAGTTTGAAATTTGAGGTTGTATGTTATCCAGGGCCCAGTTTTCCCTGGTATAGGAGTCGCTTAGAAGGGTCTCCAAGCGTGAAGATGGTGATGTTAGAATAAACTAATTACCTTACCTTTCTATTAACCTCCTTTCCCACTCATGTTCATTAATTTCTAATTTGTTATCCTGTCTATAGATGGCTGTAGGTTCCTCTCTTGGAATATAAGCCAATAAACCATCAGAAGAAGAAGAAGAAGAAGAAGAAGAAATTTGAGGTTAGGGCCCCCGGTCCCCCTCCCCATGATGAGCCAGAACTGCCAGAAGAGAAAGAGTAGTAAGAGAAGACCAGAAGAGAAGAACTGAGAGAAGACCGCGCTCCAACTGGTCTAATTGACGAATATTATTCTCTTTGAAAATGAAAACAAATTCTGTTAGAAAAAATAAGCATTTTTGACATTTTGTCGGTCGAAAGAGATTTCATTGGGAAAAAAGAAAAAACATGAAATATTTCATGAAATTTCTTGTGAAATTTCATGAAATTTCATTCGATGAAATTTCTTTTAGCAACTCTGGTCCTAAGCCTCTCCATGGGGCCCAGTGGCCATACTCTCTCAATATAGGTACTCTACCTGAATCACGCGCAAAATTCAGCAACGATTCTCAGCAACCATCGGACCAATTTTTAATTTGTCTGAACTATTCGAGTAGATTTGATACACATCTGGATGAAAATAACTCGAATTTGCTAAATTTCAGCCGTTGGGCGATGACTGTTGACTTCCACATTCAGGTGCTAAATTCAGCGTCTGATTGCGGCATGGGATTAAGTTTCAGAGCTTCAGAAATTACTTTTTCGTCCTTTTTAGAGTCAATAGGAAGAAGAATATCATAGCTAGAACTTTTGACTCTTCAATTTTAACAGAAATTTCGTTAACTTTCATAAAAGTTCAAGGACTCACGTCGTCACCTTCCAGGCAAAGTATCACAAGCGCCATGCGACGTTTAAAAATTTCCGCCGCCATTTTATTTCTTTACTGAGAAATTTTTCGTTGAATCTCACTAAATTTTATCGGCAGCACAAAAAAAATTCAGTAAAATTTTCGGACAGCTTCGTTGAACAATTTCTCTGTAAAAAAATAAAATGGCGGCGGATAAATTTTTAAACGTCGTATGGCGCTTGTGATACATTGCCTGGAAGGTGATAGAGTCCCTTTATACCCAGAGTTAAGACAACTCGATTATCAGCTGACTGGCAGCCGGCCTTGGCTGGCCATGGAGG